ACATTTTCCCCGCGAAATCCCATCAACTGCAAAATGTCTGTAATGTTTTTATTAAGACATGTAATTATTTTAAAAAGTGTATCTACTTTATTTTGTTGTTTTGAAAATGTCGACCGGCAACTGAAACATATGGTGCCTGTTTGTAGTCGACAGAATTGAGTTTTTAAAGATTTCATTTTCTTCGAAATCTCATCAACTGCAAATAAATGTTTAAATGCTTGTAAGATTAGACGTGTGGTTAAAAATAATAAAATTATTTTTGAAGTTTATCTACACTTTTTTTTTTTTAATTTAGAAAAGTGTATCGCATATTGGTCTATTTGAAATGGGTTCATGCAAAATCCGGTGGAACAATTAAAACAAGAAAGGTCCTTTTCTATATGAAAAAAACAAAAACAAAAACAACAAATATACACGAATGCATTTTATACGTGACAATGTTTACATGAATCAGCTGTCAAATATGTTATAAAAATGTATTAATTTAATATTACGCGAATGCAGCAACATACTTTTGATAGAATTCATAATTTAACACTACACTACAGAGGGACTTTCTGAAAAAGGAATTTAGCTTTCCTTGACCTAAACCTAGACCCTAGATAAATGTTATACTATTAAAAAAGTTGTACAAAACGAACATCAAAAACAAGGCACACTCCTAAGAATTACTGGATTATTTATAATTCGTAAAAATGGATTTTGGAAGTGAGATCTGCATGCCAGTTAGTTGTCAAGTCTTTACTCGTCGTACGTAGAGTTAGACGTAGGCTAGTAGGGCTAGTAGGCATGGCATAGGAAGCCTGCCTTTTTTCTACACTTTAGGCATAGCCTAGGCTAGCTAGAATATGGTAAGTATATGCTGTATTATTATTATTATTATTATTATTATTATTATTATTATTATTATGTGTTACAATAAAAATCTGGCCTATGGCGTATATTTTTTAAAACAAAGAATAAAGTAATCTGCCATTAACAAAACATTGTAATATAATATCTTTTTTCATTTAATGCATCTTGATTACGATTAATATCAGGATCAACGTTTTCAGTTCCTTTGAGTTCCGAATCAGCATTTTTTTCGCGCTTTTTTCAGTTCCTTTCAGTTCCGCAAAAAGTTGAACATGGGCAACTGAAAGGAACTCAACTCAACTCAACTCAACTTGACTCATGTCGACAAATATGCGCGACTGTCAGTTCCTTTCAGTTGCGGTCAGTTCCGGTCAGTTGCGTTCAGTTCCTTTCAGTTGTGCAGAGCGCTCATGTCGACAAGTTGAGTTGAGTTGAGTTGAGTTGAGTTGAGTTGAGTTCCGTGTCGACCTGAGCCTGCCTTTAGTCCTTAATTAAACTCCATCGTTGGAAAAAGAATGAACTGTTTACTTAAAATTCTCATTGTGTAAGCTGTTACCACAGGTACATAAATATGACATCTTCTTCCATTTTAGGACTAAGTTTCATTACATTAATTGACAGTTGATATTAAATATCAACTGAGCTATTAATTAGATAGATTGATACTTTGTTGACTAATACATTTATGGAAAAACCCTTCATCTGTTGTTCTGTCTTTTTGAATGCTCAGATTGAACTTTTTTCTAAAGAAAATATACACTACATACCGTGATAGGTTATTTAAAAGACTGAGGACATCTTGCAGTGCTTCACTGCCTGCAGCTTCGTTGCCTTTGTTCTCTGTTGCTCTTGCTAAATGATTTGTAAGAAGTGCTGAAACATGACGAGCCAGGCCGGTATTACCAAGAAAATCATGGGACAAATCCTCATTGCTTTCCCATGAAACACAACGATTAGCAAGCACCTGTAACAAATCATTTAAAAAGTTGGTCTTGAATTTTCCAAGATTTTAGTTTAGCCTCTGAATAAACCAACTGCAGTTAAGTAATCCAAAGAGGGGAAAATATGTTTAGTCAAATCACCTTTTTTTGTGAATGATGTAAATACATCACAAGCTTAAAAATTAGAATCACTGAAAGAAATTAAATTTGTAGTTCCTTAATAAGTCAAGAAGCAATCCTTTAAAAGTCCTACCTGAATAATGAGAGAAAATATTACATGAGATGCAAACTAAATGTTACAGACTTCCCAAGATATTTTTTATCAATATACCATCTCCTTCACATCAGCGAACCTGTACACCAGCGAACACAAACTTTGCTTAAAATCAGTACAATTTATACGCAGCAGTAAAGATATGCACATCACCATAGATTTGCACCCATGAGCATGCAGTCTTTTCTTACAGGCCTCTGTGATGTCATATGGATAGCCATTCACACAGACTCAATTTAGCAGAGGGCGCTTGCTGAAAATTTTCTAACAGGGAATGTGTGTAACACTTTTTTCTGGTGTGAATAAGGTATACGCATACCTGAAAACCAGCCCAAGCTAGTGCTGACACATGTAGCCTGCTGCTCTTTGAACTGGATCCTCCAATGTCCCCTGTGACCTGGCCTAAACTGCACAGCTTATCAAGAAGCTGAACAAGACCACTATCTACCAAGCACTGCTCCTCATTCCTAGGTTAAGTTGAAAAAATAGTAAAGGTGAAAGTGGATTGAGGTACAGTGGCAGATCCAAGGGGGGGGGCTAGCCGGCACAGGCCCCCTGAATTCATCAAAATTTTAAAAAAAATAAAGATATAAAGAAAATTATACTCAAATTTTGAGTCTGAGAGTGCGAATTTTTGCCTCAACCCCAACAATGGTGGGGGCTGTTTAGAATTTCCTTTCTGGAATAGGCATTTTAAAATCTAATAATTTACCATCAAAATGTACTAAAAACATAAAAAGCTCGCATTATATTAGTTATCAAACACACATTTAATCATCAATTAACATTTACAAAGAAAAATTAAGATACAACTTCTTAATAATTACGTTAGAATTTGGGATCAATGGTTTGTCAGTGGAGAAAATGGCGTCGGTTGAATGCGTTTTGTGTAGCCGATAGCAACAGAGTAGTATCAAGTGTTATTGAGACGGAACACTGTAGTACTCTATAATATATGACTTAAATTATTATAATTAATATGAGATATTATTATTATTTGCAAAAGATAAAAAATCTTAGCTTTGTGTTCACATATTACCCCTTTTTGCCTATCATCCTACCTTGTGTACGGTATTGTACATAACAATGCAATACTGTTGCCGCAAGCCAGAGGGTGCATGGCTGCCAATTTCACCACCGACGTCATTGTTTCTAAGAATGCCTGCTGGACGTCTTCTACCATACCACCACAATAAAGCTCCCCAATCCTACAAGTAAATGTAAAACAGATGATGTAATCAATTCTTACTTTTCAATAATTTCTTGAATTCTTTTGACACCCAACAGCAAGTTCACACACCAGTAAACAAAACAGGAGTATAAAGGCAGGTAAAGGTAAGAGAATAACCCATAACTAGCAGCAGCATTGTGATGAAATCCATTTTAAGTCTTTATCCGAGAAGAGTCGGTTTTTACCAACTGAAAACTTGGCGAGAAGTGGCTCAAACCGGCGCCGATGTTAAGTCTATAGTTACCGGTGCCCCCTACCTTACCGCTCGGACACAAGACTCGCCAAGTATATGAAGCTCAGATGTGATGTAGTGATGCTCTAATATAAAAGCTGTGTTATATCATGGCTAAACCATACCACTGTTTGCACTTGCACTCACATACACAGTAGGTTTTACTGAGACCATGGTCAAATTGATAATAAGATATAGGCCTAATTATATTTAAAAAATAGTATATAATTTTGCAACTTGGCTTTCATAAGAACATGTCACACATGCATGTTTAGCTTACTTTGGTCCATGTTGTAGTACTAATGTAACTGCAACCACGAGGTGAGTTCCTTCTCCAATTTGACATGCTGCGTTTAACAGTTCACGTATATGGCCCAGAGCCTGCTTACGACTTTCAGCACGCTGCTGACGCACTCTAGCAGCTGCTAAGAAGTTCTCACATGACACCTGCAAAGGCAACATATTACTTAAATAAATTACGTCTCATTTTTATACCAAACTCTGATAAATAATTTATAAATTAAAGTTAAAGGTTCATTTTATGGCTTACTGTAGTTTATTAAAACAATTTTTCCATACGTAACACAAATATACTATTGTTAAAAGTTAAAATTTCAATTAAAAAAAATTGAATACTTCTATCATAAAAAAATGATCATTAAAAAGAAATATTGTATTATTAACATAGAACCCAACTGGCATCAGTACATAGATGTGGGTGTCACAAGAATGATTAATGGAAACTGTTGTTGAACTCTCAACAACTGCCTAAGAAAGATTTTAAAAATACATTGGCCAGAGAAAATCAGTAATGTGGATTTATGGGGGAGAATAAAACAACACCCAGTAAAAGATGAAATTGGCAAAAGGAAATGGTTATGGATTGGAAACACCTTAAGATAACCAACATCGAGCATTACCAGACAAGCTCTTACATAGAGCCCACAGTGTAAACAGAGAAGAGGACATCCAAAAAACATCTGGTGACGGGACCTACAAGCAGACTTGAGGAGGACAGGCTATACCTGGAGAGACCTAGAGGTGGAAGCCAAGGAAAGAGGACTGGAGAAAAATCATTGACGGGCAATACCCCAGAAGGGGTGACTGGCTTAAGGTAAGAAGTTGTTGAACTCACTATACGTTCAGGGTTGGTGCCAATAAAGGTGAGGATCTCATCTAGAAATCTAAGGTAGGCTGGTAAGCCTTCTTGGGTTTCCTTTAACATTGAATCTTGCAATAATGATATAGCACCTTCTCTTTCAAATCTCCTTTAATAAAAAAAAAAACAATCAAATTACATTACAATAAGGATTAAAATAATGATCTAAAATATAACAATGATAATAAAACATTGTAGATACTAAATCTCAAAGCAAGGAATTGATAATGAAATATTAAAGAAAATAGATAGATTATGGAAATTTACAGTAAATTGTTCAGTTAGTTTTTTTGATAGTGTTTTTTTCAGTTATCTGGTGGGTTTGATTCCCTCCCGAATCGCTTGCATGATTTTTTTCGGAAGTATTTGTGAACATACTGAGCATTCAGTACAATAAAACGTCGGGCAGGTCATAAATATTATTTCTATAAAATCTCCTGCAACACAATTTCCTGATTACTTATGATTATTATTTTAATTACAAATGATAATCAATCCAACTGAACAATTACCTTTGAGACCTGGCCTGTGACTTGTGGCGAAGTCCTAGGCCTCCTAGGCCAGCTGGGACGGAAGCACTGCGAGAATAAGCGGAGGACACACTGGTCTTCTTGGGGACATCCTTACTGACATTTTGAGCTAGGAGTATAAGACAGTAAAAATAAACAACTGGTGTATTGGTCTACACTTCAGCTTCTCAATCCTGTGGTCAGAATTTGGGATTTGTGGATTCAATGATTATGTGGTTATGAATTCATAGACAACAGTTTGCCAATTCATAAAAATTTAATTTAGTATAAAGTTTAGGCCTAGCTTGAATTACTTATCTAAGTAAATAGTTAATTTATCCTTACCAATGACCAGTTGGCTGTTTTCTGATATACTTCGTAATACACCTTCTGGAGTGAATTTTTTTGTTGCTATGGTAACTAGTAACAACAGTTCAGCTCTCTCAATTATACCATTTACTAGGGCTTTGCATCTGCATAATTTCGGTTTAGTTTCATTGCTCTTTACCTCTTTTTCAAGTTTTTCTCTAAAAAAAAATTAAAGAGAAAATCATCAGCATACAAATAATGAATATGTTAATTATGAACACTTGGAAATTAGAGATGTAATTTCCAAACAGAAAAAAACAGCAGGTTCTTCTCCAAAACATAAAATGATTTAAAAGATAGGTTCAAAAATTGAGAAGCTGATGACTCAACACTTATTACTGGAGATTCTATTATTAGAGGTGTACATAAGCAAGGGGTAAAAACATCAAGTAAAATGTCAGCTAAGTGCTACACAGAGTGATAGGTAGAAAGGGTGACCAAGCTCTGCCCCATCCCACCCCACCCCACCCACTCTAGTAATGCTTGTATGATGAATTTTGCATCAACTTTCCCAATGAATGGCTGTTCGTATGCATATGTGTTTAGGAGAATGACAATTATGCAATGACATTAATAATACATACCTAAGGATCTTCACTGATTTTTCTTGATTATTAATATCTACTGATACACCTATGATATAGCATAGCATCTCCAGTTCATACAATTTAGTCTAAAAAAAAAATCATAATATATCTGATAGGAAATTGAAATAATATTTCATCATCATCACTATCATCCATCTCACCACAATCATAACTCCTCACCACCACCACCACCACCACTACCAACACCACAATCACTACCATCAATACCAATATCACTACCATCACCACCCTGAAAAGCTACTGCCACAACCAACAATCACCACTAACACAATAATCACCTTCATCACTTTCACTCCCAATGCCACTATCACTATCATCAAAACCATTACCACTATCATCCCCATCACTATCAACCCCACCAAGACCACCACCGCCAACACCACCAGCACCACCACCACCAATTAAGTAAGCTTTTTAGCTGTTGTGGTCACCTTTATGAAATTATATTAAAAAATTATTAATTATCATTACTGCAATTAGAAAATACAAGACACAGTAAAGAACAAACCTCTTGATGATGATAGTCTGCAAAGAATGGTGAATAGATGTCACTGGAGGTGGATTCTAATTTCCTCATATCTTCTACATCATTGGTCCATTTCTGTTCTAACTCACACATGGCCTTGAGAAGAAATGGAAACATTTCAATAATTACGCTTATGGAAAAATAAAAGAACAAATGTACACAAACTGTTAGAAGTATCTTAATTTCTAGCTGGTGTCATGATAGAAGCGCCCTTGTCACGGTTCTTGTTATCACTAATTCTACAACCACACAAAAGACACAAGGTCATTGCTTTCAGTTAAGTTGCAAAGGTATTAAAGTTCTTAATGAAATCTGAAACAGGCTTGCCTCCCAGGTTTCAGCATTTGTTAGTTGAACGAATGAAAATAAATTATGAATATTATTGCTAGTATAAAAGATAACTTCTAACCTGCAACTGTCGTTCCAGTGCATAAAGTCTCTTAAATACTTCTTGGACCACATTCATAAGTTTCACTTTGTTCTCATCTTGCTCTGAGAGAGACTCAATTTGATCCTGAATGTTGAGGTGTTTCATAACAGCTGACATTATGACCTCATGCATAGTTTCCGGCTGGATTACTTCTCTGCAAATAGAATAAATACTTTTTATAGCACATTCTCCATGGGTTACAAAGACTTTTTTGAGCACTAAGCAGACCAGGAATTTAAAACAAAAACAACTTTAGAATCAGCAATTAAGTTCTAAATTGTACACTGAACTGCCCGATACTAAATATCATGCCCTATCATAAAGAGTGGGAAAGACTTTTCACCTTGCTACACTCAGGTATGTATCAGTCCTTTGCAGTCAAAAGTGAAAAGCAAATGAGGACGATGATGTCATACGTATCTATAATATACCCATTGAAATAGATGATTCCATATCTTCTTTATAAGTTGTGCTAAACTAAACATGTATCTTAAGCAGGTCACTCACTGCACCCGGGCAGTCATCAGCCGACTCGATTCCATGAACGTTCACAACAAATCGTTTTTAATGACGATCCACTCAGATTGCCACCAACAATCAGCAAATGGTGTCGCCTCGTCTAGCGCTCACAGTGGATAGAGTTAGATCCGTCAGCCGACGGTCGTACGACTGATGCAGTGAGTTCCTGCTTTAAATATTGAATACTGCCTTACCTTGCACTGGGTCTCAAAGTAGGTTCTGCTTTACCTGCTAAGCTCTTCAGTTTCCGTAGTACATCTTTTGACATTTTTATGCGCGGTACAGCAGCTGGAATTCTTAAAGTTTTAGCACCAGTAGCAGTAGTGGGCTGCCAAATACATCTATCAATGGAAAAAATAATTTATTATGCTGCATGTTTGCTTCATTGCTTAAAAGTAACAGTTAGGATGGATGATTCCATTACTTTTTGTGTCTATGCCCCCTTGGGGCAAAGACACTATGTTGTCGTCTGGCAGTTAAAGATGGCTAAAAGTGTAAATCTGGTGGAGGTGCATGATGGGTCATCTGTCATCTTAAGTACCTTATTACTGTAAAAAAGTCATAAAAAAGATGCAACACAACCTGATAACCGTATCCCTGTGTGGATACTTTATTAGTAAACATAATACAGTAAGCCAGTAAAGGGCATAGACACACGCTCCCGCTAAGTTCCACATATGTCTGTTCATCCATGCATTAATTTTTTCCCTTTTTAAAATTTAATTGAGTATAATATACTTTCTGTGAAATGCTTACCTTTGTAATATCTTAGAACTTAATATATGCTGACATTCTTTCTCATTCTGGTTCTCTTTTGGGCCATCATACAACACATGTAGATGTGTACAAGTGAGAACAGCTAGGCCTAAGGCAATGTCAACAACAAATGGTAGATGGTTTGATGGTAGTTCTGAGCTCTCATGTGCCCTCACCATACAGCTGAATCCCCACAGTGCCTTGTCAGGGGTGTTGTGCTCACGACCACTTCGCATCTCAAATGTGAAAGTAACGGTACTACCCTCAACCTGAAAAACAAATATAGTAAAAATGTAGAGTTGTGGCTTGGTAATTAAAACTCTATTTAGACTATCAAATTTAATGTGAAAAATACCTTTGATGTAGCCATATATGGGTATGATGCCCATATGTGACCCAAGCTCACAAACGGGCTGCAAACTCGCACTGCACTGTATTGAGAAACAAGCCTCAATACCTAGAATAGGGCGTAGAACGTGAATTTTGTGTGGATTGGGCTTTTGTGTAATAAATAAAGTATAACTATTAATCTTACTATTCCTGAGGTTTGAGTTTAAAATTCCATCTGTAAGAGGTAAAATTTAGCCATTTTCTGATGGGAGCTAATGATAAATGAATAGAAACCTGCCGATAATAAAAGCATTTTTCTCAAAACTTGATTTAAGAAAATTGATAAAGATGACAATTATTCAAACGGTTATAACTTTGCTTCCAGACACCCGATTGAGTCCATTTAACTGTCATTTTAAAGTAAATGATATGTTCTATGCCATTATAACAAAAACTCATTTTGGCCTGAGGACGAGTTTACGGCCCGTTTGTGAGCTTGGGTCACATATATGGGGGTTGTCACATGAAACTTGATAGAGTGGACAAAGCTTAAGACAGAGAGCCAATAGCAGCTATGAGGATTACATTGGGATAATGCAAAGGAGAGTCTGGAGGTATGTTCCTCTGGAATAGATGTGTGAAAATGAGTTATAATATTTACCTTGACAAGGTCTTTAGGCCAACCAGATCCAAGAACACTTCGACTACCATAACCATATGTATTGCCACCATATTCAGCAACCTTTCTGGAACTTGTTGTAGGTCCGGCATACACTACCACCTTTGATGATTAAGCATAGAATTAATAATAATATAGAATAGAATATAATTAAGAAAACTAAGTGTTAGAGCCTGGCTCACATTGCATTGGCAAGAATCCATGAGATTGTCGTATGAGAAAACAGTTAATAGTTAGCCTCTGATCTTACCTTATCATAATCATATTGCGAGGCACACCTGGGTTCAAAACGAAGATATAAACACCTGGCACCAGGAATGTGAATGGTATCTCTGAACTTGTAGTTATCTCTCACTGGATGGATCGTCTCTACTACTTTGCCTGATGACCAAGGAGCAGGTATCTTAAATCCACCTAAGAATCCATCTCCCTTATCTGATAAACTATAACAGATTAAATAAAATACTTGTTATCATTATCATTTTTATTGTTCTTATGAATGCCATTAATACTTTTAGTAATAATCATTTTTTTTGTTAGGAAAGGCTAGGCCAGATGCCAACACTACGAGAACCTGTGAGTCATGTACCTGCTAACTACTGCTTGCAGGTAAACGGCGCGATAGTGTTAGTTCACTGGTGTTTATCTGTTTTTGTTATATATTTTAGCATGGTTAGCTTAGTTGATCTACTAGAATAGATTCTGCTATTTTGTTTACTGTACAGCACATAGAGACTCCATATTATGCACTATTTAAGTTTCCAACCATTACCATATTATTACAATCTTCATCCTTATTACATAACTAAATTTTAATTTTTTATCATCATAATTTCATTTCATTTATATTTCCAGAAAAAAAAAATACAAATTACATAATGTAAATGTGTGTAAAACCTAAAAGTAGCCTTCTCTAATATCATATAAATACTGATATTATTACTATTACTATTATCATCATTATTGTTATTATACATATTATCATAATTATGATTCTCTAAAATATAAAAATACTAACCTGGATGGATACAGCTTCCCTGCACAATCTTCAGAGTTCTCTATGTGATTCTTCATGCGCAGAGCAACCTACGACAAATAATAGCACATTATCAGTTTACAAGGTAACAAATCTAACATAACATACCATAAACATCTTAGTAGTCAAGATGCTAACATGGTCCAGAGTTGAATTCCTATACAATTCAACTACTGTACTTCAATTCTCAAAAAGTAAATACTAAGCCTTTAAATGAGACTTTAGTTCCATTCTCTAAATAGCAAGTGAAGAAAAAAAAAGCATTATCAACTCACCTTACTACTAAGAAGGACAAGTTGTACCAACTGAGGCATCAGCTGTTGCACAACACTCAGACAACACAACTTAGGGTGTGCTAATGAAGTTGTAAGTAGTGGTAAGAGGTGTCCCAACACGGTTCCTTTTAATACTCTCTCTAGGGCTTCAATTCTTGGTGTAGCAATTTCACTTGGTTCATTCACAAGATTACTCACTACCTCTAATAATACTTCTAACACCTGAAAAAAATTATAAAATCATACAACATTTATCAGGAATATGCAAGATTTTTTCTCCAAATTGTCACACAAAAATCTAGATTAGTAAGCATTACAAAATAATGTACATATTTAAAATTATCCAAAATATAGAGTACCACAGTTGTGTCGTCACAATGCCATGTGGCGCCCTCTGTCGCCAACCGGACGTTGGTCGTTGGTTACCGTTCATTACGCCTGAATGACTTCATAGGCTTCCTTGAATAGGCATTTTAAAATCTAATATTTTACCAACAAAATGTACTAGAAACACAAAAGCTTGTATTATATTACTTATCGAACACACATTTAATTATCAATAAAAAATTTACAAAGAAAAACTAAAATACAACATCTTAATAATTACGTGAGAAATTGGGATCAATGGTTTGTCAGTGGAGAAAATGGCATCCGGTTGAACGCGTTTTGCAACGATAGCAACAGAGTAGTATCATGTGGTATTGTGACGTAACACTGTAGTACTCTATATAATAGAGAACTCATGTCTGTCAAACTATGAGTTAGAAGACATTCACACAAACTTAAGACTATTTTCAGCAACTTAGGAACATATTTTCTTTCACTACTGATTAAAATTTTTTTAAAGTGGATCGGTAAGAGTGATTGAGAAGGAGTTAATCACCGAGTGCTACAGTATTCTTCACATCTACTACAGATATTTTAGTTGTCGTCAATTTATTACCTTTTCACTGCCTTTCAAAATATTACTAGCTATTCCAAGGAATAATGCACCAGGTTCTTGAGTCTGGCTACCTGTCTCTTGCTGTTCTCCATTTGTTTTCTCTTCTGGTGAGCTTAAGATTAAATTCCTTGTCTCGCATGTTAGGACACCCATGATATATTGAAGACATGGGGACGCACGCTGAATAAGAATAGGAAAAATAGAATTACTGCTTATGCCATGCAGTTGTGAAACATAGTTAACAAAGCTGTATACTCTAAAGAATACAAATTAAGAAATCATTTTCATATACATTTCCAAAGAAAAATGTTTATTCCTTATATACAAAAATGTATAAAAAAACCATATGAGGGAATTTGCAAGCACAAAGCTGCTGTTTATATGCTAAACTTCATGGTTAAGAGTTTGATCTCCACAATGTCCATTTCCGACCAGGCTTAGATAACTCAATTTGCATTATTGAAGGGCTGTAATATGGATCATGCTATGTTATAGACAATTTGGGAATGACCCCTGACCTTGTTTCAGTCAGGCTCACTTTGTCTAGAACCATTGGTTATAGAGCCTAGAACTTCAGTTATAGAGTCTGAACCCTGATCATAGGGACCTTAAATAATGTCAGTCTAGATATTAAAACTACAATTTGTTTTTTAATCCACAAAAACACAACTTAAGATAGTATAAGACCAACTCTGAAACAAGTGATGTAAGCCCAAATGATTTTATATTTTTCTGATAACCTATAGTAAAAGATTTTAAAAAAGCTTACTGGAGTGCTAGCAAGGAACATCTGAAACTGATCATCTTCCATAGTCTGGCAGTTCCTCAATAAAATACAAGATTCCTTCACAGCTATTCTCAGGATGTAGTAAATCAGTTCATCACTCAACCTACAATTAAGAACAAAATTTAATAGAAAATAAAGCTGTCTAAACAAACTCCCCGACGCCCCATCCCCCTTTTTTATAATATTCGTCTTGGTAAAAAAAAATCCAAAACAAGTCTTACGTAATGATGCTTAAGAGAATTAACTGTTTTTGATGTTAGTCATGAGAGAGGCCAATCTAGCAACGGTGGTCTTTTTAGTAACAGACTTTACTTGAGAAATGCAATTTTTAGGAAGATAAGTTACTTACTGAACAGGTTGCTCCTTATTGTTCCATTCTTGTCTTAATTGTTGAGCTAAGTTCACTAATAACAGATCACATAGTTTAGTTAATGCTGGTGTGCCATCACCATCTCTCAAAAGTTGTTGGATTAAACAGGTTTGCTCTTCTGGTGTCGGGTAGAGAACGGTCAGTCCAGCACTTAAAAATAACAAAATGTAATTTTTGATTAACAAAATACATAATCAACATAAACACATTAATAATGAGAACGTTCCATTGTCAGTTTAAGGTATCTGTTACGGGTCTATCCTATTTGCATGTCCTTTCATTTATATATTAATATATAAATATAAAGGAAATGTGAAGTAACAAATCCAAAAAAAGAAAGACCACCAAATACATTGTCCAAAAATTTGTTTGGTGGCAAATGACAGAAGTGGTACATTCCATTGTCAGTTTAAGGTATCTGTTACGGGTCTATCCTATTTGCATGTCCTTTCATTTATATATTAATATATAAATATAAAGGAAATGTGAAGTAACAAGGCTGCTGTTGAGTTGGAGGTTCCACTCCAAGTTGACGGTGGACATGGTGAGGGGCCCTAAGCCCAGGATTGTACCACTGATCAACCCAATCATTTGAACAGGTCCATATCATATCATTTATTACATCATAACACACACCTAAATAGTGGTTTTAAAGAACATTTAACAAGATTTTAAAATGTCATATTTTTATTTCAGAAATGGAACCTATGTTGGTTACAGTGCGAGCATATGGTGTGGTGTGGTGCATGTGGGCTTCCAATCGAAAAATTGGGTTTGAGATTGACAATCTATTTGTGTCAAAGGCACTATATCCATGAAGCAAAATAGAGAATATCTGTTATGTTCTAGCTGAGATACTAGCACAATGAAAACTTTGTTGCAAAATCCCTACAAACCCTACAAACAATGATCTTGAAAATATCGGGTAAGCATTTTTTTTTTTGGGGGGTTTTTTTTTTTGGGTGGGGGGGGGGGGGAGAATATATTAATTTTACCAATGGAGTAAAAAATATGATGATTTAAAATTTCTCTTTTTAAATATGACAGAAACAAATTATAAAACATTACATATAACATTTTTTTTGTTCGTGTCATTATATCTTAAAGCCCTTTCCAGAATATCGAATTTTATTTGACAAAAACATGGTCATGATGACATCACATCATGACCACATATAGGCACATCATGACCATATACAGACCCATCATGATTATATATGGGCATACAACAGTATTTTGTCAAAGAAAAATTGATAATCTAGACAGAGTTTAACAATGTAGTAGTAGACCTTTCCGGAGGGTCAAATTTAACAACTGACCAATCAGAACAGCGCCATGAATATGCGCGCGTCTCACAAACACACGTGTTGTCCGCACAAATGCACGTATTTGCGCATGTTTTGCTTTGTGGGACCATACTGTACCAACAATATCAAAGGGGCGGGCTTAGCAGAAAGGTCAATCGTTATCATACCTATACTCTGTACACTAGCTCCTCGTGCCAATGCGGATGCCGGTGCATCCGTACAGTCAACCCTCACATGGAAGTTACCATTGGATACACTGTATATATGATTCGTACACAGGGCTAAGAATAAAAACAAAAATATTCTTTTCTCCACATCTAAAGCAAATACAGTAATTAACAACATAAACGAAAGTGGTATTCAATCGATTGTTTTATATATTATTGGTTATAGAGCAATACTGCTAAAAAGAGACATTATGCTATTAGATATGTGAACAACAGGCTCTAGGCTTAGGCTATTTGCCTGAACAACCCAACCACAACCACAACCAGGCTATTTTCCCCTGGCTATTCTTCCCCAGAAGTTTTTTCCCTACCTATTTTGCCCTGTACAATATTCCTCCAGTTTTTTTCACATTTATGTCTTACATAAAATAATAAACTACAGTATATGTAAGTTAAAACTTAAAGTAAACTATTACCGATATACCTAATTGAATTTTAAAAATTTAATTAAATTTAAATTTAATTTAATTTAATAGTTGGATTTGTATTGCGCATCATGCGAAAAAGCCTCTATGCGCTTGGTGATTGAGCTTTTTGAGTTTGACATTTTGAAAAAAGTTTGTTATTTTATGGAACTAAAAAACCTATTCCTTAAACTAAAGCATGGTTGGCCGTTGGCTCAGAGGAGTTCATCCGCCCTTTGTTGTGAAATGGAGGAATCATGATATTTATAGTAATTTTTTATAAAGTACAGTAGTGTTTTATATAGGCAAACTTTATTTATATAAATATTATATATTTTATATAAATTATTTTTGACAGTGAAAAAATATTTTAAGATTTACCTCTACTGGTGTTGAGAGCAGATCCTGTGCCAAACAGAGCCCTAGTAGATGTACTACTACTAGCCCCTCCACTAGAACCTCCGACCGGAGGGGTAATGATCACTACATTAGTACCACACACATACATTGGTGACTTCCTTAGCACTTTCAATGCTAATCCACAACTTGTATTAGCTAATGTTTGTAAGAAAAGTATTGACAAAATTAGTTTACATATAAGTTTGAGTCGAATGCAGTAAAACCAGGCCCATAAAACCAGGGGTTTCTATTGTTTGGCTTAACCCACCTTTCGAGCAAATTCCCTTTGATAAACCCAAATACTCCCTTCCATAGTATAACAAAACCATCAAAATGATGCCAGAGAGGGGAAGAGACCAGCGATTCTTTAAGCAGACCCAGATCCAGAGCTTTAATTGAATCCTGGTTACGATCTTGAATGCATTTACTGAGTTAGACATATTGTTAAAAAAACATCAACTTTGTTGTGAAAGCTTTGAATAAATTAACAGGTTTGGCCAATATTGACATTCTAGGTTAAGTCATGTACAGTATGCAAGAAATTAGTAGGTTAAGTATGCCTGTTAAGTAGGCCACAAAGTGTAAGCCTGTACAGAATCATTCATTCATCAACACAGGTACAATATATTTTGAAAATTGTCTACTATAATATTGTATGTATATTCTATTTAAAATTTTTGAAGACTGCATAAACCAACAATTAATAATAAATAATAATAAAATTTCACCTAAATTTACTGGGTTTAACTTAAGGGAAACTTTTTTTTACAAACATTAATAATAATAAATAAATAATATAACAAGATCTCACATGTATCATCTTTAGTAGCACTCTGCACTGGGCCGCCAGCCAGTGCTGCCAATGCCATAGTGGTGGAGCGGTAATTACGCAGCCGTGCCATCAAAGTTGTTGTGTCTGTTTTTGTACTTTCCTCTTTGCGCTGTAATATCACTGGTTGTTGTACGTGGATTGCTTGATATTTTTCTTCTGATTTCTGTAAATGAGCATAATGATAATGGTAATAAATAAGAGATGATCACAATTGTAATGATCATTGTTAAGTAAAGTAAGAAATTATGTGGAAAATAGGGATAATGATGGAGAAATTATGTTGCTAAATAACAGAAAATGTTGATATAAAAATGTGGGTTTTTATATTTTTTATATTCTTAAGTAATTGTAAATACAATATTTTCAGCACATTGATTATTATTTTATGTGTATACCAAAATAAATCAATAAATAAACTGATCAATCAATACACTGCATACACTTTTTAATGAGAAAAATATGTCATTAATGGGAAACCCAATGTAATATACCACCTTGGCCTCATAGCTCGATGGTTGAACCACAAACTAGTGGGTCTTGGGTTCATTACGCTACTAAGTACAAGAGTATAATCTCACCTGAATTTTGAAAACCTCTAGGTAGATATTCTGCCCTTTCCCATTCTTGTCCATACCAGTTGGACACCATATCCAATAAAAGAATAAACCATCACTACATAGAGCTATGGTAATAGGATTCAGGGATGTTTGTTTAAATGTTACCACTTCTTTCATCTAAGAAGGAGCAGGAAAGAACATCATATTCATTGTTGTCAACAATTTAACAAAGAAGAATGGAACTCATTTTCTTAAATAAAACATTTTAAATAAATATTATATGTAGTTTAAAAAAGCACTTGCATAAATATTGCTTGTTGGATTCCAAGATAGTATTTTAGTGTCTTAGGGATACATCATATTTACCAACCGTCTCGCATCGTTCGGGACGGTCTCGCATTTTAAAGTGATTTGGGATGAAACACGCATTTTGCAGAAACACATGCGTGATCCTAAATTTGTCACACATTTAGCACAAATTATCACAAAATCAGGGGAAAATGTATTTAAAATTAGAAAAAAATTGGTTTTATTGAAAATGCAGTAACTTAAGTCATTAGAGAGTGCAGTATTCATGTTAATACTTATTTCACTGATGCGTTAATAAAAATTCATCAGTAAAGAAATATTTGTGTGTCTACATAGTTTGGGTGCTCAAATTAAACGTACCTTGAAACTCAAATTGTACATATCTTTATTAAAAATATTTTTGCTTATGTACCTGTATTGTCTACAAATACTCTCTGAAATCATTTTAAAAGAGCTTAAAATGCTCATCAGAGCACCACGGGCCACGCACCCCCCCCCCCCACCTCCCCCAGCCAACTGGTTTAGTCACGCATTTCAAATCTCTCAGGTTGGTAACTATGATACATGGAAGACAAAAACGACAATAAGGAGAAAAAAAAAGTGAATGTAAAGGAAAAGGGGATGAGAATGATGAGTAAAATATGAAGAATAAAGACAATACTCAATGCAATTAAAAAAGCAACAAGAAAGTGGACATGTACACTTTGCTCAGTTGGCTAAACTGGTGGTAGCCACTGTGTGTGCACTGAACCGTGGAGATATTTTGGTACACAGTTCAATTCTGCTGCTCTCCTTTCGATCCACGTAACAGGCTGTAGGGCAAGTATAAAAAAAAAAACACTGTCTTTCAGATGCTTTTGGTAATGTGTGCAATATGATGATAAAGAACATAGTATACTCTTCGGAAAAGATTAGGGGATTGCCTCTCCCGGAAGTAGCAAAGGATCGCTCCAGATGGAAGTAGATTGTTGAAGCCTTATGTCCCGCTTGGGATGAAGAGGATTAAGTAAGTTAAGCAAGTCTCTTGGAAGTATATCTTTTAGACTTTCGTGGGTATTCCTTGATGTTCACACTGAATAAATCTAAATTATATTTAATATCATTTATTATAAAATATATTATTATTATTTATGCAATGAAAAACTGTTTATCAGAGCTTAGCTCAGTCGGCCAAACTGGTGGTAGCCACTGTGTGCATTGAACCGTGGAGATATCTAGGTCCCCGGTTCAATGCCCATCGCTGCTCTCCTTGTGTGTCAGCTGGAGGGCTGAAATGCAAGTTACGATAGTGCACCATCTTTCGGAAAAGATGTTCAAGCCGTTGGGCCCGTGTGCACATTAAAGATCGCAGTACACTAATCGGAAAAGAGTAGGGATTGCCTCCCGGTTTACTGTTCAATCACCAGCAGAAGTACCCCACTGGAAGTAAGTCTTCTTCAGACTTTTGTGGGTTATCCTTGATGTTTACACCAAATAAATCCATCCAAGCCATAATTATATTTTAATATTTCTTATCTTGCATCTTACCCTTGTAAATTTAACATTTTCGCGCCGCACCTTTAGGCTGCTACAATCAAGAGGAAACAGATTAAGAAACTGTAGGTAGAATGGGAATTCTGAATTAATCAATACGCAAGCACAGTTACCAAAGAATGTCTGTGAAATATGTAAAAAAAAAAAAAACACAGTGAGAATGCCCTGGGAAAGGCTAGACAGCCAGTGAGCATGTGGACTGAGATAGTGACGTTGACAAGCCATGTCGATCATGCGAAGTTATCAAAAAGATGTCTCAGGAACCAGGCAGCGTCTGCGAAGAGGTCATGAAATAGAAATGGGAAAATCAAACTTTTTAAGCAACAAATAACCATGCGCAACTCAAGCTAACACAATCATGCATGGCAATGAAAATTAATAATGAGAATTCCGGTCGAAAATCCTTGGCTATCGAAGGCCTACAGTGCATCATATAATCGTCAAGGAGAATTGTATTAAAATAACCACAGAAACTGACGACACAACCTTGGCTAAGTAGCATTGTCTTGAAAGGTATGGTGCTGTACACTGAAGAAGGATAGCATACATATGCTCTTCGTCGTATGTATTCATATTATTGACAATCCGAAAAAAAATAGCCACACAAACTGATAATAACAACAACAATCGGCTATGATGGAATTTATCTATAACTCGTCCAACTCAGCCAGAAAAATAATAAAAATAATAAAATTTTTCAAAAATTGAATACAAATAAATAATAAAAAATAATATCATCATTAATAATAATAATAATAATAATAATAATAATAATAATAACAATAATAATAACAATAATGGTAAGAACACAAGCTAAAGAAAGTATGGTAGGCCTAGGCACACTTAGTACGTAGCTACCTGTACTGTTTAGTATGTTTTGTTTTTATTATTTTAATCCTGTGACTGCAATTTTAATAACTTTGAGGCTATTGTTACACCAGTTGTAAAAAAAATCTACCTGTAGATTATTATTTATATGTTTATGTGTCATATCATAACATAAATGCATTGAAGATGATATAGGTCATTCTCAATTATACATTAATTAGTGTTAAGTTTGGAAATACAAACCAGTCATAAGTTAAAGAGGTTGTGGCGTTTATTTATAGGAAATATTTACTGTTACATTACCTTTATGCTGCTATTTTTTTATTTCAATTTTTATTGTATTTTTAAAGTTTTTATCTTATTAACTTTTGAATAATTTAATTAATGATTTTGTACATATATATATTTTTATATATATTTTAATATTTTTACTTGACTATTTTATGCTAATTTAATTTATGTTCTCATTGGTATTAGAGAGCCACCAGGCAGTGATTTATTTCACTTTTTGGCCTGTCCGGAAAATTGAGTGTTGTTTTTTTTCCTCTCTGTTATTCTGTGTTTGCCAGTTTTAATGTTCTTTGGACCAAATAAATAAAATGAAATATTACATAACATAAAAATTAATCTGACTTTTCCAAATCAAAAAACCACCTTTAGAGTATGTGCATCAACCTCAATAAACAACACTCCACTTTTGGCATCAAATGAACTAGGTCTGTGTGCTAAGCAGTCATCCCCATAAGTTAGCCACCCTGGTTCTAGCTCCTGGTTTGTTGCATATACATATCCCCGAAGAGTGCCATGCATGCCTGTACCAATCTTGGCAATTCCTCTTCCACATGAATCAGTCGAGTACAAAAAATTACCATCACATCCAATGCTTCTACCAAACTCATTCTCTGTAAAATCATAAGGAAAAGTTGACAATTACATCCTGGTATAGATGCAATAAGGAAATGCATCCTCAATTTTCCACTTCATCAGGGATATAATTTATGTATGGATTTTTAAAAATACTTCAGATACACTTGTTATGAACTGGACGGTTGTAGAATGTTGCATAAAATTAAGTGATAACAAATTATTCAAGTTAATAAAAAAGTAAATATATAATAATATGAAGTATGGTATTATCACACTACAAAATAGCCAATATATGAATCACTCAAATCTGATGCTGGAAATAAAGGAAAAATAAATAAATGTTAGTGGAATAGAGGGGGCCCAGCGGCGGAATTTCACAGATGGAAGGTCTATACATAGGCCTACCATGGTTGGAGCTGAGGTAAGAAAGTTTATGATTATAGCACTTCTAGATGACTGGAAATGGCACTCTCAGACTTAAATTTGGATATAATTTTCTTTTTTCACAGGTAACAGAATTTTACAGTTGCCTGTTAACCGCTTAGCAAATTTCAAATCATTGAATTTCATGGACACATTTGGGAGGGGGAGGGGGAGGTTTGGTGGGCTGCTAGACCCCCTAGGCCACTGTGTATAACTAAAATAGACCTACTTTTAAAAGATGCAATTTCAAGCAAATTGCTCTTTACCTTTATCTTTTTCTTGGTCATTGATGTTTTCTCCGATGCTTAACATATCTTCAAAGCCCCAGCAGAGTATATGCTTTGTACCCAGTAGAGATGATGGGCATCCTGGCCCCCCAGCAAGCTGCAGTAACTTGTGCAGGATTTTGGCAACAGGTAGAGAAGTAATTTCATTCGATAGTTTTTGGAGTAAATGTACAGTATGAATAAGTGTCTTTATAGATCCTCTAAGTATTCATTATGACAAAGAAATAAAGAAAAACAATCTCATTATTATCAATCATACAGTAATAATAGTAAAATAAAAATTAACATAATTAGAATATGCATATTTTTTATACATTCTGTAAATTACCATCTAATTAAGTCTTAAGTTTTTAGCCTATTTTTTTTAATAAAGGGATACAATGTCATGGTGATTCTTAGACAGAATTTCAGGAAATCAAAAATATGAACTCATGGGGCTATGTATTTTTCAGTAATTTTAATTAGTAGTAATAAATTTGCGTGTAGTTAATAGGCATTGTATAAATTGATGTAAACATGTTGTTTAATTCTTTTCAAGGTATTTATCAAAAATTGTGAGAAAATGATTTATTTACAGATATAACTATATGTGGCAAGGACAAGCCAAACCAGTCACTCGTCGCAAATCGTGTTTCAGAGAAAATGGCCAAAACATGTTGGAATGTCAAATTTTTAAAAATCTATTTTATTACACTAAACTAATCTTTACATATCTATAAATCATTCTATGCTGTTATTTTCCCAATTTTCAATAAACAAACAACACTTTTTAAGGATTTGATGATAGTTTCTGCATGAGTAATGCCTGAAATCATAAACTTTGAAGGCTCATTTCTCATATATTGTTCCTTAAACAGCTGTATGTTTAAACGCTTGTAACTTCATAAGGAAATGTCCGATTTGAATGATTTTTTTACCATTTTATAGCTATTATTTTACCCTCTAACACTGTATTAATAACTCAAAATCGATCTTTGCGACGAGTGACTGGTTTGGCTTGTCTTTGCCACATATACAGTACAGTTTGTTTTCAACACGAACATAAATTAGGACAATATGTAACTTTTTAAATTTACAATGATAATATATTGGCTGCTGAAAATGCACACAATTTCCTTGTAGTTTAAAAACTAAACAATTATTGGAAAGTTATTACACTTTTCATCGCACTATTTTGAAAAGTGCACACATATGTATAAACATATGTATAAACATTATATTGTTACTATTTTGGTCATTTCAAAAGTTCTCACCTTGCACAAGCTAAAGCTGTTAGGGCTGCAGCTGCACTTTCTTTTTGCTCAATATCTGTGATCTTTAATGAACATTCAGTTTCTGAATTCTCTCCAAGCCATGTACACAAAAGGTTTTCCAGGCCATTCAGACAATCAGAAGGTTCCTTCATCAAACTTAATGGTGGACAATCTTGTAGACAACTTAGCAATAGCTTTGTTGTGGTTCCAATTAAACCTGGATCAACAGCACTTTGAGATTTCAAGAGGGGAAAAACGAGTAGTAGGCTTACCCTGCTTGAAAAACTTACTGTATCACCTTGATGCCACAACCCTTGTTTTCTCAGTAGACTAAATGTTTCCTCCTGGCTTGCTGCCTCTTTTTCTACAGCTTTTTCTGACGTTGTAGCAAGCTGTCTTTGTGCAGTCCACAAACCTTTTAATGCATTGAGCCTATAATCAAGCAGTCTAGAATATGCGAACACATTATTTTGAGTACCACAGACAGCCAAGAGCCTTTCTGTAAGTTCCTTTGGGTCTTTCGAGTCGAAGGCTACCAGGCCTAAGCCTACTCCATTCTCACCTAGGCCTAGGCCTACTGCGTCTGCAGCATGGTTGTCTGAGGCCTGTGGAAGCTCAACAAGGTCAAGAATTCTCAGTAAACCATTGTGAAGAAAGAGTGTTTCTTCGCTTATAGATAGCCATTGACTGTTATCATTAACATTAGATGTAGCCATCATTATAATAGACTCTCACCTGCAAACAATCGGATCCTAAAAGGAGGAATGTCTACATATTCTTGTTTGGATTCCATATAGGCCTAGAGCCTAGCCTATAATTATGTGATTGTTTTGATCTGCGAGGTGGTAATTTGCTGCTCGTCTATATCTACACTTATCAAGATTCACCCTTTGTTTGATATTGAAAAGTGTCAACACACGAGTGAACGCGTGTGTACATAGTGATTGTAGTACTGAACTGTAGACTGTAGTGCATTTTTACCAAAGTGCGTTTATAACATTGTATGTCCACCAATTTTTTAACGCATTTTTAATATGAATAACGCTTTGAGCAATCAATCACTAGGCCTACTATTATTATGGAATGGGCTTCTTCCCTCTGGACCCAGGTTAATCAAAAGTTGTTTTTCATGCTAAATATGATTACACTATAAACTATGCATAGGAATACGCCTAATTGAAACCTTCTAAAGTAAGGATTAATTGTGTTTGTATACCTGCGTAGTTTGTAGAACGTAGGAGTATACGTTTTATATTTAAAATTTCCCTTCCTATACCAAGTCCCATATGGTCTAGTGGTTAGGATTCGGCGCTCTCACCGCCGCGGCCCGGGTTCGATTCCCGGTGTGGGAATTTCTTTTTATACTCATTTTGTGTTGGTCACGTTTGTGTGTAGATCGGTAAATTTTTTTTTTATATGTGTTTACGCCTAAAAAGTAGAGAATACACAGATTATACGTCATTTTGGATTCCCATCGCGTACCGTACCAACCATTAAAATAGGATAGTCATGGCCAAGGCTATTTTCCAGCCATATTTGCTCATAAAAAATGTTGTTCGTTGTCAATTCAAAGTAAATGAATATATAAATAAAATACCACCCATTAATTTCTTAAACCTAAGAGGCGCCTATTTATTATATATTTCTGGAGCCCATGAAAAATGTCTTGGATCACCCATGTTTTTACAAGAGTTTATTAATATTTCAATATTGCAGCTTTCTGGATAAAGGGTATTAATAGATACTTTGGGTAACACCAAATCAAAGATATAAGATAAGATATACGTATTGTAATTTTTCACAAGTCAACCAGGGTCGTAGATACAATTCATTTCATTCATGAATGATTTATTCAGAAATTTTATACAAAAATCATTCTTTATCATTAAAAAAATAAATATTATCATTTACGGACTATTTAATTTTAAATATTTAGATAAAAAAACAAAAAGAAAAATAAAAGAATATATATATATATATATATATGTATATATATATTGTATATATATATTGTATATACATATTTGTATACAAATGTATATACATCGACCAAGTATAATAACAATAAGAAAAAAAAAACATAAAATAAACAAACACATAAATTATTTAAACTGATAAACATCTTTTTCGTATCGCTATTAATTCCCTAAAATTTACCTCAGCCCCTGTCTCTTATACACATCTAGATGTGTATAAGAGACAGTCATTGCAGTGTCTTTTGTTTGCCTTCCGTTTCATTGCAATGTCAATATCGAAATCAATTTCCTTTGATGCAAAATGCATTTCACACATAATATAAAAATAAAAATAATTATTCGTAAAGTCATCACATAATTTTACACACGCCGAATAACTTAATTATCTACCGTACCTATTAAAATTGACATATTCTGAGTTTTGGACAAAATATCCTGCATCTGTTTTAGTGAACGATATCCACATGATTTATTTACAGTGCAGTGCATATTCGATGCATGCAGGATCTTTCAAATTTTAACTTCATTTAGAACATCACGTTCGTATAGCGATCAATTGTCTGTTCTATGTAATTCTGTTAGAATATACAACAGTTGAAAGTAATTATTGATCGTAATAGAATATAGGCCTATGGCTTCAGCCATTTGCATAAGATTTAGCCTAGATTTAGAAGAAGACGTTGATTTGATTTCTTAACCACATTTATGGTGTTGAATTGTAAATCACTATCCAATATTGTGCCTAAGTTCGGTTGTCTAGTGGTTATACCAGTCTATTTCTGAAGGTCATTCGATTCCCATTCCGGCTTGCGATTTTTTTTGGCAAGTAGGTATTTGGGAGCGTATAGGCCTTCTACACGTCAGGTGGGCAAATTCATCACTGTTTCTAAATATTTCATCTTTTACAATCTCTAACTCAGGGCCGGTGGAACGTTTTTCAAAGTGGGGTGGGGGTCCAGTTAGATGAAAGGGAATATGAATCAGGGGGAATCTGGGTTCAAATTTAGGGGGCACAGGGTGAAATTTTTCCCAAAAACCCCAAAGAGGAAGGGGGTGGGAAAATGTTGATTCCTAGATGGAAGGAAATGAGCTTTCCCGACTTTTGAGCTAGGTGTCTTTTAATGAATTTTAATTCTTCAAAATTCAAGGTGTTCCCCTCTTGAAAACGGTCATTTAAGCTTTCTCATTCTTATTACAGTAAATAGGCCTGTTATGTGTGTATACATACATAAAACAAATGGAGTATTCTTTTTTCCATGAATCGATAAACCCAAAAAAGAAAGGTGCCCGGTGGTTCTACCCAGGAAAAACTTTGATTCCAAGATGGCGGGAAATGAGCTTCTGACTTCTGGTTCTCCCTGGGAAAATGTTGATTTCTAAATGGCGGGAACTAGCTGAGCTTTCCCGACTTCTGAAGTGTCTTTTAAATGACTTTCAACTTATTCAAAATTCAAGGTTTTTCCTTTTTGACAACGGTCAGGTAAATTTTTCTCATTTTTATTACAGTAAACAGGCCTTGTGTGTGTGCATAAAACAAATTGAGTAATTGCATTATACGTATATTTTTTTACATAATCGATATCGATAAATCCCAAAAATGAAAGGTGGTGGTGGTTCTCCCCCAGGAAAATTTTGATTCCTATGGCGAAAAATGAGCTTTTCCGACTTCAAAATCCAAGGGTTTCTCCCCTGAAAACGGTCAGGTAAATTTTTCTTATTTTTATTACAGTAAATAGGCATGTGTGTACCGGTATACATACGTTGCATAGTACGTATTCTTTTTTTCCTGAACGAACCCCAGAAATAAAGGGGTCCTTTCCCGAGAAAATTTTGATTCCTAGTTAGATGGCTGGAAATGAGCTTTCCCGAATTCTAATTTTCCTATTATAAAAAAAAAAAAAAGAAAAAAAAAATATCAGCTCAGGGTTCTGAAAAGGTATAGGTCTAGAATTCTTTCTTTTTTTTTTTTAGCCCAAGGATGGGGGAGTCAGTCAGTCAGGGAAGTCGTAACTCGGTCGGGACGTACTGCATAACTTTGTTTCCCCTCCCTCTCCTCTTTATTCCCTCTTTATTTTCTTGCATTTCTTTCCGATCAACAAAAATCTATGACATTATATATTTTCTGCCAAAAAGTGGGGAGGGCCGGGGCTGACCTTAGGGACGTATAGGGCCTACAGGGGGAACCATGAGAGCCGCGGCTCCTCCCCTTTGTAACAGTGTTGAAATTTTAAAGCTTATTCTTGCTAGAATACAAATTCTTTCCTGTGACCACACAAAATGAATACTTCTAACTATGTAAATATGCATCAGCACACGATAGCCTACATAGGCCTAGGCCTATAATAACATAGGCCTAGGCCTAAGCGTGATTTAAAAAAAAATCTTAAATCCATAAATCCCAGGCCCGTTTTCAGATACAGAAATGGGATAAATTTGGTTCAGTTTGGTTTTTATCCTTTTGCAAGCTCTATAGTTTTGTTTTAATACTACAGTATAGTAGTAATAATAATATACTCATAATTATTTTAAAGATTACGATGACGATGGTGATAATAATATTAATAATATTAAAAAGTAAAGAAAATTGTGCTAAAGGCGAAAAAGTAAGTTGTGTTGATCACAATTATTATAGTATAGTTAAAGCTTAGTAAGCTATGGTTAGACCTAAGTTGTCCGGGATATTAAGTAGATCTCTGATAAAAGACAATGAGAAATTTGTTGGCGCTTCATTTTGACTATATAATGATGATATGATGATGATGATAATGATGATGTGATGATGATGAATTTTACTATAAAAGTGTCATTTCCGGTCATCTAGAGGTACTATCTCAAATTTTCTCTCCACAGCCCCGACGATGGTGTGGCTGATATGGTTGTGAAACCACGGCTTTGAAGTATGTAAAATACATACTCAAAAACAATGTTTTTAAGCTTTATTTTCTGGTACATCACACATTAATAAGATATATCTATGGTTGCCGAAATTCCCTGATAAAAGATCATAAGAAAATTGTTGGCGCTTCATTTTGAGTACCATATAATGGTGATGTGATGATGATGAATTTTACTATAAAAACGTTATTTTCTGGTCATCTAGAGGTATACTATTCCCTAAAATTTACCTCAGCCCCAACCATGGTGGGCCTTATGTGGGTGTCGACTCACGAAATTCCCCCACCCACCTCCACCTTTCGAAACAGATTGCGCCCTTCTTGTGTATGACATTAAACTCTGTCGAGTCGACACCTGACTCAGAGCATGTCTTAGTGACTGCTGATGAGGCGAGAATGCATAAATGTGTTTTTAGGATGTGATCTGGTTTTACATGCCCATGTTTTGTGATTATGACTATATTGGATAAAGAAAGTTTTGAGCAGTGGTGGATTCAAGCCCCCCCCCCCCCACTCTCCCCTTAATTTTTTAATGGAAAAAACAATATAGGCCCCCTATCCAAATTTAAGTCTGAGAGTGTAATTTCAGGCAATGGTCCTAATCATAAATTTTCTTACCTCAGCCCCAATCATGGTGGGTCTGAGGTGGGTGGTTCCTCAATTTGTAAAAGTCCCTCGCTGGGTCACCTCTCTATTGAATTCTTGGATCCCCACTGTTGAGTTTCATATAATTATTATTAGGCTGACTAATATTATTTATGATGCGTTTATTGCAATTTTCACTTTATCATCTCAAAACAGTCCCTGGAACCCCACCCCGGGTCCTACGTACCTCGCATGACGGCTCCCTCCAATTTCAAAATCCTCTACGTCCATGGCTGGCCTACCCGCCCCCATCCCCGTTCCGCTAGCATTTTTATTATATATCAAAGGTGGGCCTACCGCCTGACAAGACATACCATTGAACGAGGCTTATGATAATATAAATGTAATTTTTTTTCTAATAATTTCAGTCGGCTGCTGTTTGTATTTGTCTTTTGATATACATAAATATAAAATATAAAAATGCTAATTCATATAAGTTGTATAAAGCACATTTGGGGTAACATACAATTAAGATCAGCTCTATGAACTCAACCAAGAATTTATTATGGGGCACTTGGCCCGAGGCTCGAAGGATGTCCCTTGGTTCGGACACTCTGTAGGGCTTTTGTTACCTGTCAGCATTGCAGCAAACCACCACTGCAGGGAATAATAAAAGGGGTCCCCACTTCCCAAAGAGGAAGATGTAAAAAATAATGATGCACTATTGTTTAAAAAAAATTGATTGATTCCTCGGCGTTAGGTTGATCTTGTCTTGAGAAAAAGTGTCCTTTCCTCGAGCACCGTGAAATTCATGGGCTCTACCGTGCCAACGAGGGGAAATATATCTCCTTTAACACTCGCCAAGCTATCAAGAGGCAACCCTTAAGGCGACACCCCTAAAGGGAACGGGGAGTTTGTAGGCCTACTTCCAGAGTGTGAAATGGTAAAATCAATTTACATTTTCACACCTATTTAAAAGGGACCATTTTCTTTATCGTTTCACTATTTTTTTTTGTATCACTACAATAGATTCAAAATAATTTCAATCAAGTAGGCCTATAGGCCTTGACAATTATTAAGCGATAAAAAGAACATTTTTTTTTATCCTTGAAAATATATCGGTATCGGCCCCGGTGTGTGCTTTGTGTACTGTATACGTCCTAAAGTAATCAGGAGATTTATTACTTTTTCTATGTATTCCATACCGTAACCCTTACCCTGATTTGTAAGTCCGAGGCCTACCTATTCATTCTGCTGTATCTGTAGCACTGGAATCATCGGACCGCAATGGATTTAACTTTGTTTATGATGAATTCTGTTTCATCGTCTTGTTATATCGTTTTGTATTGTATGAGTTCGAACTAAAGACAATCAACAATATAAAACATCTTTTTTTCTTTTTCTTTTTTTTTTTTTAATTAGGCCTATATTTCGATTTCATCATAAATGTAATGTATTTGCATTGTCATAGTTTAATATGTCTAATAGGCCCCTGTGTCTTATAGTCGGCGTACCTGCCATCAAAAGGCTGGGCACATGTTGTTATTGTAAACCATAGTGCCCTAGGCCTACAGTACTATAAGTCTATAGGCCTATAAAGAATCTAGGCCCATGTCTTCATGACACTTGTTATGTCTTCATGACACTTTTTATTTAGCATACATTAACCACATTTCAACTATCAAAGTTATTAAAAGTGGAATAATGTTATGCTTGGGACTCTAAAGGTTAAGGGGACGTTTTTGGTTAGTGTCCCCTTAAGGGAACCCCTATTCACTTTTTGTAAGGTGACACTTTTTTGGTCCTAAGGTGTCCCATTAATAGGGTTCTACTGTATATTTCGGATTTTTAAAAATTCGATCCCCCACCCACTCTACTGCATAAAACAATACACATGTAGAGTCAATTTCCGCGAACGCGCCACGGTTATGGCCTATCGGAATTTCATTTTGTTTTCTGGTTTTGAGAGCGAGAAAAAATAAAATTAAAATAGATTTTCGAGAAAAAAATTATAACTACTCTACAGTACAAATTAATTGAAATGATGGCGATAAAATGATAATGGGGGCGCTTCTCATTTAGGTGGAAAGATAAAAATAATGTACTTTTGTAGGCTACATGCGACGTTCGTCGTCGCTTCGATTCTTCTTTTGCATCCATCCATCTATTACTTACCCGCCACGTCACTTCACAACATGATATAAAGATAAAATAGATCTAACTCGTGTAACGTATAAGAGGTTACACAACACGTAAATAAACAAAACATGTAAGTAAAATATAAATATTAAATAAAATTAAAACATATATTTACATTACTACCGTGTATAATTGTGGAAAAATGTATTGACATTGTTTGACCCTACTAAAATGATTCATAACTAATTTCCGATATTGTTCCGCCATTGGCCTTTAGCATAATTATTTTCTGGTCTCTGTCGAAGGCCAAAGCATTGTCGATTTATCAAAAACATTGCCTTTGAAATCATCCTCTGGTGGTAGTGGGAAGCAGTTGCGAATATTAAAGACAAGCATTTTTATCGATATGCTTTGTTGATTGTTATAAAATACAAATTAATTGATTTTGCAAGGCTCGTGCTTCTGAGAAGCAGCTCACCGGCGATCCGAAGGCATGATGAGTACACAGCAAGCACCACAAAACAAACGTAAAGGGGGGAGAACCGGGAACAGTGGTCATGGAAGGTTTGTATCAGCTTCATGAAATGAAAGTGTCTTGGCCTACGTTTTGGGTTATCAAACTGGCCTTTTGAACTATATATTTGTTCTCTGAACTGTACACAGAAATTCCCATATAAATATATATTAACATAAGTGTTCAATAATTAACCAATTTTGATCCCTAATTAAATACAAGTATTCAGGCCTAACTAAAAGTAAAATGCTATATTTTTTGATGATAGGCTTCTTTCTATGCTAGGCCTAACCTAGGCTAAGTTAGCTATTATTTACGAGGCCTAGGCTTACGGTAGCACAATTTTTGGCTAGGCAAGCAATACACACAAGGAGGTGGGCATATGCTAGGCCTAGGCTAGCTAGAGATTGATAATATAGGCCCTAACCTAATAACATTTTTCAGTTGTATCAACATGTTCTTTCCTTAACACTTTCCATTGAAAACATTATTTTGTAACTAGAATATTATAAGGAATCATTCACAAAGTTGATGGCACTTTGAAAACATGGGAAAATAATTAATCAACATACTGTAGTGTACGTCTGGCCAAATCGCTAAGGTTGTTTTTTATTTATCATCTAGGCCTACTACAATGTATCCTCCCAGAAAATGTCTACATTATTCCCTTTTAATTTATATGTATTCAACTTTTTAAGTCCTATCTCTGTTGGTTGATGATTGATAAAATAAAAAAATTCTTCCTTAATAATTCCTATTCCTGGAAAAATTTCAAATGTAGAATTAATAAGACAACATGGAATAAGTTGATTGCAGTTATGCAGCAATAATTCTGAAGGGCTACATGGGCAATGAACTGTAGAGATCCTTTTTTTCCACAAATTTAGTCCCTGTTTCAATTCCATTGCTACTCTTTCTGTGTTTCGATTGGAGGACTGAATTGAATATGTTCTGTCCCCAGAAATAAACATAGGCCTTGGCCCAAAATTTGTACAAAAATATAACCATTGCTAGGGGCAAATTTTCTTTCGCCAAAATGGCGAAAGGTTTTTAATTTTTTCGCCAAATTGAAAATGCTTTAGCCAAATTTACAAACCAATAAAATTTCACAAAAACGGTTCCGTAAATGAATTTCTTGCTTATTTATGTCTTGTTCATTTGTAACCAGTCGTAAAGGCGGTAATAATAATAATATTAATGATAGAACAAAAACGATCGTTTACGATATGTGACCGACAGCTACTGGACCTGCTCTAGGCTTAGTGCTACGCCTACAGTAGGCCTTAGCTAGGTCCTAATTCAAATTAGTGAGTAGAGAGTTCCTCACTTTTTTGGCATTACAAGCGACTGCTATTTCAAGTACTGTTTCGTACAGTACAGTAGGCCCTACCTCTTGTTTTGCTCTACAGCATATCAAAGGTAATTATCAATAAAATTGATGCTTTTATATTGTTTGTCATGCACTTTCGGTCTTCTGTACTCTTTTCTAAACACAACACATTTTCGTCATCACTATGATCTTTCCCGGGGGCAGAGACCATGCTTCCAAAACCCTGTCCGCCATTTGGTTAATTAATTTTTTCGGGGGTGCGGTGGTGGCGTGCAAACACATGCTTTGATTGGGACGACGTCAGATTGTCCAATGTTTCATAGTGCGTGACAAAAGAAATAAACTCAATGTAAGACGATGATTTAATTAATAATATTGTACTTGGTTTGTGGCATTGCTTTGTGCATTAATATTTGAAGTTGACTGGTATTTTGATATCCTAAAGTAAAATGACAGGGCATGATACAGTATGTGCAGGTCTATAGGTCATGGACTGTAAATATTTATAAACAAATGTGCAAAAGAGATGGGAGGGTCAGGATACAAAATATTGGTCAACATTAATCCTTTTACTGTATTCATAGTTACGAGTTACCTTTTTTTACAAATGTCCCATGCAAATACATTGTTGTCAGTCTTGGCAAATTATTAAATATTTTTGGCTTTTTCTTGGTAAAAAATATTTTTAAGTATATGTGTTGTTTGGGTTTGGCAACACAAGATTTTTTAAGTCAAAAAAATAATGCTGTATTATTGAATAGGCTTAATTAATAATTTTTTTATATGGTTAATGGCAAGCAATCGATAACCATTATTTGTGGTTGTCTTCTTTGAAATACTTTCATAATTTGATTTACTATGTCTTGGCTGGTTACAGTAGCTTCCACATTGCAGATAAAATGATGCCTGTTGCACTTTTTGTGGATTATTTAGCAAGTCCTCAAGCCAATTAAATTGTACTTTGACTTCTATTATTCATAATAGTTATAGTAATGTAAATAACCTTTAAATGTAGATTAATGCATTCATTAAATTCAACCCCTGTGTTCTGTCTTTCAGTTTCTTCAGTTGAGTGCATATCAGAATTGAATTATTCTTCCAAGGTTCTTTTTATAATCAAGTGAAATTCTCTTTGTAAATCTATTGTCAGTCCATTCCTTGGGTTTCCTGTCATCCAAATGAGTTGATAGAAGCTGTTTAATTTTTTTTTTGTACACATATTACATTACACTAATTTTGGTGTTTGTGAAGAAATAATTAGAACCAATATTTATGTACCATATTTAGAAATGGGTTGAATTCTGTATTGTCTTTGCATGAAATTTATTTTATTTAAAGGAGATGCAAAAATATGATAATTTACATGTCTTGAACTGTTGGTAAATTACTTGGCTTTATATAATATCTTAGATTTTGATGATGAGAATGATGTTGATGAATGATTATGATGATAAAATGGTGACAGATAATTGAGGATAAATTTTGTAAGTTCTCGTAAAAAGATAATGGGACTTCCTTATTGTAATCCAGGCCTGTTTCTTTGAACAATGTAATTAAATCAAAGAGTGAGAGTGATCAAATTTCAAATTCTTTATAATTCATAAATAATTTTAGTAAGTACAGTACTACCAAATATAATTTTAGCATTGTCATTGTAAAATTATTAGTACATGTTCCACATTTTCCCCTGTTACACATTTCTTTGCAAATGAGGTACCAACAAGTTAAGTAATTGTTCCTAATTGATGTACCATGCAGGCATGGAAAAAAGAAAACTCTGCAGTATTTTGACATCAAATTCCACATGTTTAATTGGCAGTAGCTTAACATAATATAAATGTTATACACTAAAATATATTGTAAACAATGTAATTAGCTGCTTCTATATATTTAAATTGTGATGATAGGCACCACCAAGCAAGCGGAATAAATGTATCCAGGCCTTGTTAGAAATAGGTCTAAAGTACAACCATAAAAAAAAACCTATAGTACAACAAGGGATGTTTAAGATGTCTGTTAACTACACAATATTTTTAATTTCAGTACATTAATGTTAATGAAAGTGGCAGAAAAAATATACAGTAATATCTATGGAGAAATTTTAAAACTCAGTTGAAAAAAATTTATTTTTTTTCCAGTTAAATGTACCATACAGTATTTTGTATTAATTTCTAAAAAAAAAAAAGCCTGTCAATACATTTAAGTTTTATGGACATTTGATTTTAGTTTTAGTTTTTAGTTTAACAGTCCTTAAATTTATTTCTAGCCAATTTAAAGGGCCTGCAAAAGAAATATGGCCAGTATTATTATGTGTACCTAGTAACATAAAAAAATTCAGGCCCCGAAACCTTGACTCAGAAATACCGGGATGGTGTCCGGCAGGGGATAGTTTCACCTGTGTATAATACGCTACAACCAACCATACAAATTTGTCTCGCTTCTTTTTGTTACAGATTGTCTTAAGTGAGTATAGTATGATACGACTTCCAAAGTGCTATATAAATAAAAAATAAAGAATAAACCATACTGGATTCTTTGGAGTTTGTATCATGCCACTGTTGTTAAATTACCAATACTGTAGTACTATAAAGTATTAGTTTTTTTTTGTTTTTTATCTTTTCCTAACTCAAAAAATTACCTCTTTAATATATACATTTTTTTTAAATGTATGGCCTCTCAAATCAATTAAATGACACCTGTAAATGCTTAGAATGCTGGACCCCCACCGGGGTTTTTGGCCCTGGACCCCGTGGGCCCTAGGTGGCCCCCTGGCCCCAGCCAATGGTGCTCGCAAGTGCCCTTTCAGTATGAAAAAGAACCCCCCTACCAAAATCCTGGCTACGGGCTTGATCACATGTAATGTTAAACGTTTCTATCAAATTTATTTTTAAAATTCGACTACTCAGATTTACTGTATTTAATTAACTAATAAATTAATATTTACTTTGTCCAATAATCAAGTGAATCTCAGTTGTGTACATACAAGGCCTAGGTTAGATTTTGATGATATAGGAAATTGCTATCACTTAAATGTAAAAAAATTTGAATCCATTTCTTGTCGTCAGTCGCCAACTTCCTGTCTTGCAATGTGGCGCAAGAACGGAAGGAAATGTGTTATAGAGAGGTGGTGCTGGGTCATCCTCAATATTTAACTGTTAAGTAATATCATTTATAGTTTGCCATAGTTTATCTACTCTTTTTAATAACAATGATGATATTGATAATAATGATAATTTAATAAGTCATGATCTGTAGACCCTATGTAGGCATAAATGAGACCTGCGTCCTGCGTTACTCATTACTTTGGCAGCTTATAATGTGGAGAATAAGAATTGAAAAGTAAAATTTCATTTTTTGGTCACTGATGCTCGTTTTGGGATGGCAAGCCTCAAATGTTCAACTGTTAACTAGTACAATCATTTACAGTTTGTCTGGATCTGTATACTAATACCAGTACAGTAAGTGTTAGGCCGGCAGGCTACAGTACAGTTGGGTCAGATAAAAAATGTGTTTGGTTGGACTGTTTTTTTAATAACTGATAATTGATTTAATAATAATCATTATTAGTCATGATTTTTAGAGTAGACACTATTTAGGCATTATAATAATATTTTTTTTTTTATCTCCTTAGATTGTACTGAATATATTGTATCTTTTGGTGATTTTTCTAAATTTAAATAAAGTCGCAAAGATGCAAAATATAATTAGATGTGTTGAACA